CTGGGGGGGTGGGGATGGATTCCCCATCTCTCTGGGCACAACCAAGGGCCGTGGCTGTGTGCCTGACGGTGGGCCCGGTGCGGCCCCCACTCGCCCACCCCGCCATTCTGAGCAGCAATGTCCTCTTTGCCCACAGGCTTCGCAGCCCCTGGGTGCCCTCGTGCCTCGGGCAGCCCCGAGTCCTGCAGGGCCGGCTGGCCAGGTCCTCGCCCTCAATCTGGGACAGGTAACATACCTGTTGTCTCCCCCGGCTCCTTGGTGTCTCTGCATCTGTCCACAGACATCCGTCCCATGTGTACATCAACTCCTGAGACAGCCAGGGAGGCCCAGGGAGGCGGGGGGCTCCTAGGCCAGCAGCACCTCATCCTCATGCCCCAACCATGTGCTCCGTCCCTGGCGCCGGCCCGTGAGTGCTCAGAGGGGCTCCCTCGAGGCCCCGCTGCGTGCCGTGCGCTCGTCACTCGTCCCCGTTCATGGGCTTCCCGTGGGCAAGGAGGGAACCACGAAACGCGCGTGCACACACATACCACACACACACACCACGCACGCACACCACACACGCCACATGCATGCACGCACACCACACGCAAACACATACCATGCACACACATGCCACACACACATACCACACGCACGCACACCACACACCATGCACACACACCACACACACACACACACCACGCACGCACACAGCACGCAAACATACCATGCACACACATACCACACACACATACGACACACCACAGACACATACACCACACGCACACACCATGCACGCACGCACACCACACACCATGCACACACACCACACGCACACACATACCACACACGCCACATGCACGCACACCACATGCACACACACACCACATGCACGCACGCACACCACACATACACATACCATGCACACGCACCACACGCACGCACACCACACACCATGCACACACACCACACGCACACACCGCACGCACGCAACACGCAAACATACCATGCACACACCACACACACATACGACACACACCCGACACACACACACCACACGCACGCACACCACACGCACGCACACCACACGCACACATACCATGCACACACCACACACACCACATGCACGCACACATAGACCACACACACCACATGCACGCACGCACACCACACACACACCACATGCACACACGCACACACCACACACACCACACGCACGCACACCACACGCACACACATACCATGCACACACCACGCACGCACGCACACCACACGCACACACAAACCACACATACCACACGCACGCACACCACACGCACACACATACCATGCACACACACCACATGTGCACACCACATGCACACCACACCACATGCACGCACGCACACCACACATACACATACCATGCACATGCACCACACGTGCACACATAACACGCACGTACTCATGCACACACACACGCACATACCACACATGCACACACACCACACATGCACACACCACACACATGCACACATGCGCGCACACACATACCACACACAACCATACACGCACATACCCCCCACACACACATACCGCACACACCACACACACACGCCACACACGCACACACCACATGCATGCACGCATACCACACACGCACACACATACACATGCACACACCACACGCACACACACCACACATACACCACACGCATACACACATAACACACACCACATACATGCACACACACCACATGCACGCACATACCACACGCACACACCACACACATGCACACACCGCATGCACACACACACCGCACACATACCACATGCATATATGCACACACATACCACACACACACCACATGCACACACACCACACGCACACAGACACGCACACACACCACATGCACACAGACACCACACACACACACACCAGAGACCACACACACGTGCGCACACACCACATGCACACCACACACCCACACACACAGACATACCACACACATGCACACACACGCACACCACACACAAACCACACACACCACACACACGCATATATGCACATACCACATACACAGACACACCACACGCGCACACACACACACCAGACACCACACACACGTGCGCACACACCACACGCACGCACACACACACCACGCACAAACCACACACACCACACACACCACACGCACACAGACATACCACACGTATGCGCACACACACACCACACACAGACACACAAACCACACACACACGCGCATGCGCGCACAGAGGTCAGGCCCAGATCCTGATCTAAGCCGCCAGGACACAGCTGGAAGCAAGGTGACCTCACCGGGCAGCAGTCTCAGGGCTTCCCAGGTCCCCAGACCTGGCTCCACGCCCTCCCTTAGCCTCTGCCGGGGGGCTGTTTCCAGATGCCAGGGACCCCCCAACCCAACCCTGCACTTGCCAGGCCACCTCCTCACCCAGGGCAGGAGGCAGAGGCCACTGAGCTGAACCTCCAGGACTTGGTGACCCGCTGTAAGGAGCAAGCGGGGGTCACCATGCCCACCCCAGGGTGGGGAGCATGGTTGACGTGGTCCGCGTTGGACGGCCCAGTGTGAGGTGCCCGAGGGCCATGGGTGGGGAGGCAGGTCGGCAGCTGGACGTGGTGGGGGGTGTGGTGCCCGAGAGGGGCCCCAGCTGGAGACAGGGGCCTGGGAGGGTCCTCGTGGCTGGTGGAGGAGATTCGGCCTGAGAGTGCGGGGAGGCGGGGCGGGGGCAGACCAGGGCCCTGAGGAGCAGCCTGGCAAGGTCAAGGGGGCTGCAGTGTGACCGCCAAGCGGCAGAAATAGGGGGAAGACATGGTGGGGACAGGACACCGGGGCCGGTGAGCTTGGGCATCAGGTGTGACTGAGGGGCCAGGCTGACAACTCTGCTCCTTGTTCACTGTCGTCTCCCCTCGAGGCTGCAGGCGCCCTGGCAGGGGCTGTGCTTGTCTTACAGCCGTGTGGTCTCGAAACATAATAGGGCAGGGGTGCAGCAGGAAGGGGAGGAGAGAGCGTGGCGATGGGGCCGATGCAGGCTGGGTCACGTCCAGGTGACAGTGGATCCAAGCCGGGAGGGGAGAGGAGGTCACTGGCTCTAAGAGGTTCCAGTGGGGGTGTGGGGTTCCCCATGGGTACTGGGGTGATAGTAGGACTGTGTGAAGGGGTGCAGTGAGCTGAGGGTGCAGGTCTCAGAAAAGCAAGGGCCCAGGGTGTGACAGTGCCCTCACCTCTGCCCCAGGGTGCAGACTCCACCTGTGTCCCGTGACTGAGGGCCATGGGCAGACTGGAGGCCCTGCAGGGAACAATCAACTTCAGGCTTGTTGCCCACCCCAGCCCAGACACCATGCCTGCAGCAGGGACACTGGATGGTGTGGGGGCCCCCAGGAAACTCGCCACCTACCGGGGAGGGAAGGCCTGTGCTGGGAAAGAGCTGGGGCTGGGGCTGCAGGGTGCTCGAGGTCGGCAGTCTCGGAAGGCTGCCTGGAGGAAGCAGGCGGCGAGCCTGGGCACAGCAACCCAGAGCGCTCCGGCAGGCAGACCTGCGTGGGCAGCCGGTGGCACTTTGCCTCGGGGCTTCCCCCCTTTGCTTGTCACTCGACATCCTCTTTTGGGGACTGACTCTTGGGAAGACCCGCCCCGCCCTTCTCTGAGGTTCTCAAAAACGTAAGCAACTCTTTATTTCTATTTATTTTTAAAAATATAGACCCGGGCAGGAATCCAAGAATGCTTAATCGAGGTTTGCTGGGTGCATGCCCATGGTAATTCCTGTGGTTTACTCACAGGGCCCGAGACTGAAGGTACCTCTACCCAGGGGGATTCAGGGGGGATTGCGGCCTGGGGACGGGTGCTGGGAGGAAGCCTCCTGCCTGCCCTCTTCACCCTTCAGCGGGGTTTGGGCTGGGGAGGTCCCGAGAACACAGCACATCTGGGCAGAGTCAGGGTTGCAGGCCTTTCCACACCCAGGACTCCAGCATGACACCCAGGAACTTCCCTCCAGTCCCCACCCCACGGTCTGGAGCTGGCGCCACCCACCCGACACCTCCCCGTCCCACAGCAAACCCGCCAGAAGTTACCGTCCAACACTGTTGGCCCCACATGGTCCCCTGGGGCTGTGCACTCCTTCCAAGGGACCCGCTGCTGGCTCAGACCTCGCTCTAACCCACACAACAGGAGGCGGAGCCCGTGCCCTAGCGGAGTTCACAGCCAGTCCCCTGGGCCATGGCCACCCGCCCCACCCCTACTTTTGCCCAACTTTGGTTCAAGTGAATTGTAGACAGGTGGCTCAGAAGGGTGAATTACGCCTTGTCTTTGCTTCCTGATCCTGCAAGGGCAGGGGGGTGTCTGTGTCCTGGGGTCCTAGCCTCTAAGAGCCCCCATTCTATGGGGAAAAATTACAGCCTCAAAAGCCCTGTCTGGGCTTCTGGAAGGCTTCCTGGAGGAAGGGGAACTTGAGCAGGCCAGGCTTTGCTGAGTTTCCAGTGCTGCACGCAACCTCACTGGCCACCATGGTGGGCACCACCTGGGCATGGGGCATGCCCGCTAACCCTCTCCCTGGCCCAGAGAGGTGACACAGTGTGCTGGGGTACACAGCCGGTTGAGGGGAGGGAGGTATGGTCTTGGGCGAAAGCGGGGGCCCTGGTCAGCTGTGCCACCGGGGAGACGCGGGTGCTGATGGGCACTCTTTATACCAGGACCCTCTAAACCGCCCCTGCACTCGCCAGGTTCTGCGGTCAGCGACTCCTCCAAGGTTCCACAGGGGGTGGATTCATGACGGGGGCACTGGTGGAGTCTGAGGAACCGCCTGGGCCAGCCAGGCTGGCTCGGTGCTGAGTCCACGTCCCGCGGGCGGTCAGTCTCTGCAGTGGCGCCGCGGGGAGGCCGTGTGCGCGCGTGCAGGCACTGGCGCGTGTGTTGGCGCGGCCCCGGGCGCGCCCCCGCTGGCCCGCGCGGGCCTCCGTTTCCCCCGCTCAGCGCCGCGGCCCGGCCGGCCGCCGCGTGTCGTTGCAGCACGCTGCAGGAGCAGAAGGGCGAGCTGCGCAAGCGGCTGTCCTACACCACGCACAAGCTCGAGAAGCTCGAGACCGAGTTTGACTCCACGCGCCACTACCTGGAGATCGAGCTGCGGCGCGCGCAGGAGGAGCTGGAGAAGGTCACGGAGAAGCTGCGCAGGTGAGGGGCGGGGCGGGCGAGGGGCGGGGCGTGCGCGGGAGCGGCCCGCCCAGCTCTGCTCCCGCCCGGCGGTCGACCTGCGCAGCTGCGAGTTCGGAGGCTCTTTCTCCAGAGTCGCACTTTGTGCCGAGAGCGGCCCAGGCAGGATTGGAAGCCAGGGTCGACCGCTGCTAGGGACAGGCTCTTCCCGCAGCACGTCTTCAGACCTGGCTCCGTGTCCCGATCCTTCATTCTTTCGTATTTGGTGAGGCGACAGCATGAGGCACAACCCGGTCTCCAGACCCGACTGGTCCGCCCCGGGTCCCAGCCACAGTACCCTGGGTCCCGATGGGAAAAGCGATGTCTCACCCCAGAGATGAGCCAGAGTTTAGGGACCCGTCCCTTGAGCAGCGTGGGAGCTGACCAAGTGTTGAGCAAGGTGTACTGGACTCTCTCAAACACCAAACTTTTCTAAAAGTATTTTTCTTCTGTAGATATAAGATGGATGTTTTTCTAAAACGTTTTACACACTTTCCTGTCTTCTTAAACAGAAAATGCAGAGAATGCAAACTTTGCCATTGGCTTGGTTTGTTTTAATAGATATAGAGTGTCAGCTGGTGCTGTCCGTCCCTCCCTGAACGGCCCCATCCTGCTTGGCTTGTGGCGTGGACCCCAAGCTGGGGCAGAGCAGTTGGACCTCCCGGCTCTAGCACTTCAGCTGCTCTAAGCGCCTGTCCCCTCACGTTGCCCCACTGGCAAGAAGGGCAGTGACACCGCCTACGCCTACGGGGTGTTTAGAGCAGTCCCCCACCCGCGACCGTAGACCACTCCATCTCCCACCCCATCCGTGGAAAAATTGTCTTCCATGAAACCGGTCCCTGATGCCAGGAAGTTGGGGACTGCTGGTCTAGAAGAGGGACACGGCCCCCAAACCTCTACCAGCAGCAGTGGAAGCACAAAGCACCCGATTCCCCCCACACTTGGGGCCGCCCCTCCTCCCGGGGCAAACTGTGTCTTACTCCCAGGACCCACCACAGTCGGGGTCGAGTCTGTTACCTGCTGACTCGCATTAGGACCCTCAGCCCCGTAGCCAGGCTTGTGAGACCTGTGCGTCCAGTGTGAGTAAGCTGACTCTGAGTGCGGACCCAACAGGACACAGTCTCTTGTGTTCCCTTCTTGTCTTGGGGGGTCCTCAGATAGGGAAAGAACAACACAGCCCTTGCTCCTGACCCAGGAAAGCCTCTGCACAGTTAGCTTTAATCGCATTCGACCAGGGGGTGCTGCTGGGGTGAGCTCAGGGGCCGTGAGGGTCATGGGAGGGCCAGGCCGGCACAGTGACCCCACTGCCTCCCGCTGCAGGATCCAGAGCAACTACATGGCGCTGCAGAGAATCAACCAGGAGCTGGAGGACAAGCTGTACCGCATGGTGAGCCCCACGCCCCCAGCACCTCCTCCTGCGCCGCGGCTCTCGGAGCGCAGAGAAGAGACCTCCTAGCTGACAACCCGGCCGCTCAGCAGCTGGGTCACGGGCCTCGTTTGCTGACACCGCAGAGCTGGGCCGTCCCACCTTTTCTCTGCGGAATGGGAGGTGCCCTCAGGTTAAGGCAGGGGTTAGGGCCAGCGCAGCCCGTGCTGTCTGAGCAGCAGGTGTGACACCCCGACCCGAGGGTGTGTGAGCGGGGCTACAGGACAGAGGACATGCCCTGGGGACAGGGACCCCAGCTCAGCCTGCCAGCCCAGGGATGCAGCCTGGAAGAACAGAGGCAGTTCAGGCCCTGGGGGAGCCCCAGCTCTGCCTCTTGTGGGACCCCCTGTGTCTCACTGTGAGGAATAAACGTGACAGTGCCTCTCCCCAGTGGGGTGACCACCCTCTGTGGAGACAGTCATACCACCTGCAAATAACCTCAGTGGTGTTGCCTTTTCTCCTCTGTGACCGGGCTGGTGGCAGCTGTCAAGGAGGGACAGGGCACATGTTTCTGGTGCCCCCTTCATTAGGAGAAGGAGGTTCCCTTTCTTTCTGGTTTGGCGACCAGCTTGTTTGGTTTTGAAAATCGGAAATAGGTGTTCAACACCTGTCCATCTTCGAGGTGCTGTCAGAGAGGGGAGCCCAGCAGGCCTGGGGGCTGGGCCTGGCTCTGCCTGGGACCCTGGACCAGGGCCCTTTCCTTCCTGAGCCTCAGTTTCCCAGTCTGCCCAGTGTGGTGGCTGGGCTCCATGCTGAGCGCCAGCCACGCTCCCTCAGTCCCCAGCCAACCCATGAGCTACAGATGAAAATCTGAGGCCCAGGGAGGCAGTGACTTGCCCAAGGCCATCTGACTTGTCACTGGTGGAGCCAGGACTTGAACCTGGGTCAGTCTGTGCTCTGAACCCCTGCACCTGTGGCCCTCCAAGCACCTCAGCATTAGTGGCTGTAGGGGCAACACAGGAGGCCCAACTGAGCAACAGGGCTGAGTGCCAGCCTTGGGCAGGCTGCCAGGAGTTGCCCCACTGACCACCTCTGCCCACTGTCCCCAGGGCCAGCATTATGAGGAAGAGAAGCGTGCACTGAGCCACGAGATTGTCGCTCTCAACAGCCACCTGCTGGAGGCCAAGGTGACCATTGACAAGCTGTCAGAGGACAATGTGAGTGCTGTTTGCATAGGGCCCGCAGAGGGGTGCCAGCAGGTGTTCTGGGAGTGCTCCCAGGCAGCACTGGGAGTCACAGCCATTCTGACCCTGAAGGGCCCTGAGCCGGAGGTACTTTGGCCCCAGCCTCAAGGGGCTGGCCCAGGGGACAGGTGGATGGATAGGGTGTCCAAGGCAAGGCTTTCTGATCCCAGGGTGGGGTCAGGACACAGGACTCCTGCCTTTGGCCAGCCCCAGTGTCACATTGCAACCGTGACATCCTCCACAGGCCCCGGCAGCCGACCACGCATGCACTCACACGCCTCTACTCCCTGCCAGACCCCACCAGGCTCCGAGATTACGGTGTGAGCAACACAGGCAAAGAGAAAACAAACCACAGTCCCTGCCCACGTGGAGTTCACATCTGAGTGGGGAAGACAGACAGTTAACAAGATAAAAATGCAAACCATGTCGCATGTTAGAAGTGCCAAATGCTGCAGAGAAACGCAAAGCAAGGACTAGGACCAGGGCTGGCCAGTCACAGGGCCTGAAGGTTTCCATAGGGTGCTTCTGGAAGAGGCTGCTGGAGCCACGACCTGCAGGGAGCGAGGGAGCAGGCCACACAGGCACCTGGGGCGAGCATTCCGCCCAGGCAGAGAGAAGCAGGTGCCGAGGTGCGCCTGCTTAACTTGGAGAACCCCACAGAGGCCAGAGTGAGCCCCTGAGGGTCCCCAGGTCCGAGGTCAGGAAGATAATAGGAGGCCATGTTGGATAGGCTTCTGTCAGAAATCTGGGCTTTATTCTGGGTGAAATGGGGAGCCATGGAAGGTTCTTGAACGGATGAGTAACGTGACTGCACTTGTAGCTTCACTGAGCTGGCATGGATGCTGTGCTGAGAACACACCGTGGGCTCAGGATGGAGGAGGCCGCGGCTCAGCAGGATGATAGCGGTGGGGGTGGGGGGAGAGGAGGGTCTGGTTGTATTTTGAAAATAGAACCAACAGGATTGACCGAGATTTTGGATGTGGGGGGTGTGAGAAAAAGAGATGAGCCCAGCCCAGCTGCGGGGTTCAGGGCCCGAACAGAACGAGCCGTCCGCTTCCAGGCTGGGGAAGCACGTGAGCCCTCCCAGCCTTCCAGCCGAGATGTCGAGATGTCGTGAGGTCGGATGCGGGCCTGGCGGTCAGAGTGGAGGCTGGTGCTCAGGGCGTTGCTTTAAGCCACAGAGGGATTGAGATCGCTGAGGAAGTGTGCGGCGGGTGGGGGGGGGGACGGAGGCACCCTGAGAAGTTGGGGTAACCGACAGGAACCAGCAAGGACATCTGAGAGTGCAGGGGTCAGCGTGGTAGTCTCAAAAGGCGCCGGCTCGCAGTGCTCAGCCGGCTGTGCTCTTCCTAGGAGGCCCGGGAGGCCAGTGTTGACAGGGGCTTGGGGACCAAGGCTCCTTCCGCCATGCAGGTCAAGTTGGGGGAACCAGGCTCAGTGCAGAAGGGGAGACAGGTAGGAACGCCCATGACAGGGACAGCCTTGCCTGAGCTGCAGGCCCCCTGGCCCTGGTTAAGCTGGGACTGCGGCAACAGCCCTCGGCCAGGAGCACCCATGGGGCTATGCAGGTGGGTGACAGGGCCTGCGGGGCGGACCCCAGGGCTGGCTGTCAGAGCCCTCGCCACAGGGACCCCCGGAGGGCGAAAGCGCAAGTACCAGCCACAGGCACATGCAACAGAGATTTGCAAAGGCAGAACCACGTCCCCTGGAATTCTACTGTTTGCATCTGTTTTCAGCTCGGGAGGCTGAGCCGGTCCCCGCCTGGACCTGGGGTCACACACCTACCCTGATCCCTGCCCAGCCCTGCAGCCACCCCGTTGCCAGGCCACACGCTGAGAGTGGGGTGTGAGCAGTGCATCTGAGATGGGGGTGGCAGGGGCTAGGGGCTCATCCTTCATCTCCCCTTGGTGCCTGGCACTCCCACCCAGTCATCTTTGGAGGGACCCAGGAGCCCAAGGGACAGGGACACCAGGCCTGGTCTGTGAGCCTGGGGGCCTCCAGGAACCCAGGGCCATTGGAGGCCCTTCTACTGCTGCTCCACCTGGCGGGAGCTTCCCTGCCTGGCAGGGCCCCAGGGGCACTGGCCACGGCAGCACAGGGCTGCCTGGCAGGGCCCCCCACGCTCCAGCAGCTCCAGGTCCAAACGAGGCCCTCGCTGTTCAGGCGAGAGGGCGCGAGACCCAGAGAGGGACGGGGCCAGGAGTTGGTCCTTGTTCTGCCAACCGCACGACTGGCCCTGCCCGCCCCCGCATTGCCCCCGCTGGCCACGTGGCGCTGGTCAGGGTGGCAGGGACCTCGGCCGGGTGAGCCACACCGAACGCCTTCTCTTGTCTTTTAGGAGCTCTATAGGAAGGACTGCAATCTAGCGGCCCAGCTGCTGCAGTGCAGCCAGATCTACGGCAGGGTCCTTAAGGTGTCCGAGGTAACGTGACCCCTCCCGAAGCCAGGACATCCCTGCCCAGGACCACTCTGGGCTCCTTTTTTGCCAGTTCCACCCCAAGGCCACTCCCCACCCTTCAGGAGGATGGTGCTGGCTGAGACCAAGCCCTGTCCCTTCTCACTGCTATGGTGTCCTGGCCTTTCCGATGGTGGAGGGGCTGCCCCCCCACACCCCACCTCACCCAGCCTGGACAGCCCGGCCCTCCCAGAGCCCCCTTGGCCTCCCCGCGCTCCCCCTTCCCCTCAGTGTCCTCTGGGGGCTGCTCCTGGCCCCTGCTCCAAGCCCCCATCCCCTGAGGGCTGGCATGGCACAGTGGCCCTGTGTGAGCCTCACAGGAACCCTGTGCTTTGGGCACAACTACTGGCAGTGCCCATTTCAGAGACAAGACAATGGCTTCAGGAAAAGTGACTTGGCCAAGGCCACAGGGCAAGGCACAGCTAGCAGAGCCAGGCCCTCAAACCAGGCCTGTCTGGTGCCAGAGCCAGACTGAGCAGCAGCCCACCCTGCCCAAATGTGGCAGCCTGTGGAGTTGGCCCACGGACCCCCACCCCGGCCAGGCTACCCCCCAGCCCCTCCTTTCACACGCAATGTCCTACCCAGGCCTCTGTGTTCCCGCTCCCTGGGGCCCGGGCCACGCCTGAGACACTCACAAAATAGATCAAACAGTAGCTGGACACCCCCACTTGGCACCGGGTGCTCTTGCGGATACCGCGGGGCACCGGCCTGCCTGGCCCCTCAATCTTTGTTGCATCTGTTTCTGAGTCTGTCTTATTTAGGAGCACCTGGGTGGTATGGCTGGGGGGGCGCCCCCAACACCACCCATGGGCCTGGGAGAGCAAGTCAACCCCCCATTGGGCAGAAAATGGGGGGCTATAGCCCAAAGTCGGGCCTGAATCAGACTTGGGTTCTAGCTTCTCCCCGTCCGACTGCAGCCTCTGGGCTCTGCTGGGCCCAGTCGGAGTGGGGTGGGCAGGTCAGGTGACCAGGGATCCCCAGGTGCTGACAACACCCACATCCCTGGGAGCTTGCTCAATACAGCATCCTGGGCCCCGGCTCCCACTGGTGTGATCGGAGAAGGCTGGGAGGTCCCTGTTCGTCTGTCTGCCTGTCGGTCACAGCAATGGTCCTCGGCCTCAGGGCCAGGGCTGGGCCTCGTGCTGACTGCGACCCCTGTCCCCACCTTCCCCTCGTCTTCATGCTCGTTCCAGCTGCCCTTGGACTTCCAGGAGCGTGTGAACCTGCACATGGAGAAGCACGGCTGCAGCCTGTCCTCCCCGCTCTGCCACCCGGCCTATGCCGACAGCGTGCCCACCTGCGTCATCGCCAAGGTGCTGGAGAAGCCCGACCCCTCCAGCCTGTCGGATGTCTCCGCCGGCGACCTGGCCTTCCGTGAGGGGGTGGAGAAGCCGGGCCCGCGGCCCCTGTACAAGGGCGACATCTACTGCAGCGACACGGCCCTCTACTGCCCGGAGGAGCGGCGGCGGGACAGGCGGCCCAGCGTGGATGCATCTGTGAGCGACGTGGGCTTCCTTCCGGCGCAGAACTCCACCGACAGCGCGGCTGAGGAGGAGGAGGAGGCCGAGGCGGCGGCCTACCCGGCGGGCTACCAGCGCGAGGCCTTTGTCGGGTACGCGGCCTCGCTGCCCACGTCCAGCTCCTACTCCAGCTTCAGCGCCGCGTCCGAGGAGAAGGAGCACGCCCAGGCCAGCACGCTCACGGCGTCCCAGCAGGCCATGTACCTGAGCGGCCGCGACGAGCTCTTCCGCCGAAAGCCGCCTGCCACCTACGAGGGCGGCCCTCACTTTGCCAAGGCCGCAGCCGCCGTGGCGGCCCCGCTGGAGCCCGGGATGGCGTCGCGGTTCGGGAGGACCTTTGCACCGTACCAGGCCGAAACCTTCCGCTTCCCGGCCCCGCTGGACTCGCAGCCGCCCGTGATGCCTCCGAATCTGTGGAATCTGCGGGCCAAGGCGGAGAATGTCCGGCTCGCTATGGCGGACATGCGGGGCCAGTGGCGGCCCCTGAGCGTGGAGGACATTGGCACCTACTCCTACCCGGCCAGAAACGCCAGCCGCCTGTCGCCCGGCGGCTTCTCTGAGCGCTACTACGGTGGGGGTGGGGGCAGCCCAGGTAAGGATGCTGAGGGCCGCGCCAGTCCCCTGTACGCCAGCTACAAGGCTGACAGCTTCTCTGAGGGTGACGACCTTTCCCAGGGCCAACTGGCAGATCCCTCCTTCCTGCGGGCGTGCGGCGAGCTGAGCCTCAGCCCCAGCCGCTCCGACGACCCACTGCCCAGCTATGCGCCTAGCGAGGGGGACGGGTCCAGGCTCGGGGTGCAGCTGTGTGGGGGTGGCAGCAGCCCTGAGCCCGATCATGGCTCCAGGGACTCCCTGGAGCGCAGCTCGGTGGAGGCCTCCCCAGAGATGCACCCTGCCGCCCGCCTCAGCCCCCAGCAGGCCTTCCCCCGCGCTGGCGGCTCCGGGCTGAGCCGCAAGGACAGCCTGACGAAAGCCCAGCTCTACGGAACCTTGCTCAACTGAGCGCCTGCGTGCAGGCCGTGGCCCTGCACCCCCACCCCTGTGGCGCCCAAGAGGGGCGACCTCACTTCTGCCCAGACCCCAGTGTCCCCGGCACCTTGCCCACAAAGAGGACTCGGGTCCCCCCAGCGCCTCCTCTCCCCCAGTCCAGTAGCACCTAAGAGGAGGGCCCGCTCCCCACAGTGTCTCGTCCGCCCAGCCCCACTCAGTGGAACTTCACTTAGAACATTTTTCACACACCGACATCGTGCTCCATCTGAGACAAGCATGCCCTCTGTAAAGCAAAACCATTTTTGTAGAGGAAAAGGGTCTTTCCTGACGCACTAAGCCTCCAGCTGCCTGGACGGCTGCCTGGGCGTTCTCAACACGGAACTCCTTTATTTTTCGGGTGAGGGTGCATGGGGCCCACCCCTAGGAAGGGAAGGGAAGGAGGCGTCTGTGGAGCCCAAGCTCCACAAGTGGGGAGCCACCCCAGCAAGCCAACGACAAGGAACCCCCGAAGTTCGGTCCACAAAGGGGAACTGAAATGAGTTGGAGGACAGAAAATGTTTTAGAAATCTGTTTTCACAGTGTGGCCAACACACCACCCTGAGCTCCATGGTCCGCAGTCCCGAGTGGGGCCTAGATGTCGTCCCAGTATGGCCGGTGCTCCTCTCCCACCCCCCGAGTCCACCCCGACACCGTCTTTCTCTACCTCAGATGAAATGAGGCTCCCCGACCCCCGTTTCTGTTGCCTGCGTCCCCGTCGTCTGTGATGCATGCCCGTCTCGGTCAGTGCTGTACTTGCATTCGCCAATAAAGACACCAGTGGAAAGAGTCTGGGTCTGCCCTGTTTCTTCTCCCCCTGCCTTGGGTCTCAGGAACGCGTGGCCCTCGTGTCCGTCCCTCAGCTCTGCCCCCTGCGGCCAAGGTGGGCCCCTTAACCCCACGTGACGCCCCCAGCGTCTGAGTTACTGCCGTGTTTGGAGCCTTCGCTGCCGTCACCCCGCTGCGCAGCTCGCTCTGCGACCCGGCCACGTCCCGCCCGTTGCCACATCTTCGCCACCCGTCCTTCTTGCTCTCAGACTTCGCTCTCGTGGCCTTTAGTGTGGGTCTGCTGGCGACAACTCGCAGTTGTCATTTCTCTGCAAGTGTGTTTCTTTGCCCCATTCCTGAAAGGTGTTTTCGCTGGGAGCAGGATGTGTTGGCGGGCGATCACTTTCCAGCAGCGCACGGGAGACGCTGCGGCCGTGTCCCCAGCTTCCTGCTGGCGTTGAGAACTTGCCGGTAGCCTGGGAGCTGTTCCTCTGATGGAATAAACGTTTTTTAAAAACCTTTTTTCCCCCCGGCAGTTTAGGATCTTCTCTTCGACTTTGGCTTTCTGCAGTTTCCCGAGGTGTGTCTGGGTGTGGATTTCCTTCTAGGATTCACAGGGAGTCTTGCTTCTGTGGATTGATGTATTTCATCAGTTCTAGAAAGTTCTCCAGTATTATTTTATTTATTTTTTTTTTGAGACAGAGTCTCACTGTGTTGCCCTGGCTAGAGTGACTGCCGTGGTGTCATCCCAGCTCACAGCAACCTCAAACTCCTGGGCTCAAGTGATCCTCCTGCCTCAGCCTCCCGGGTAGCTGGGACTACAGGCATGCGCCACCATGCCCGGCTAATTTTTTCTATATATTTTTAGTTGGCCGATTAATTTCTGTCTAATTTTAGTAGAGACGGGGTCTCACTCTTGCTCAGGCTGGTCTCAAACTCCTGAGCTCAAACAATCCACCCGCCTCAGCCTCCCAGAGTGCTAGGATTACAGGCGTGAGCCACCGTGCCCAGCCTCCAGTATTATTTTTTAAAAATATTTCTCTGCCCATTCTCTTCTCTCCCTCTGGGACTAGCATCCCAGGCCCATGGAAGACCCTTGGACTGTAGCCTCTGTATCTGTTGCCTTCTCTTCTGTATTTCCCAAATTTTTGTCTCACCCTGCTACAATCTGCAAAGTTAGTGAATTGTCTTCCAAATCACTAATTCTCTTCTACTGTGTCTATTCAGCTCTCAAACACAGGCACCCAGTCTCCAATTTCAGTTACTGTTTTCCATTTCTAGAGGTTCTATTTGGTTGTTTCACAAAGCCACTGTGCTACTTTTTACTACAGTTTCTTATTCCCTAGAGATGTTTTCAAGCTTGTCTTTTTTTTTTTAGAGACAGGGTCTCACTCTGTGACCCAGGCTGGAGTGCAGTGGTGTGATCATAGCTCACTGCAGCCTCGAACTCCTGGGCTCAAGCAATCCTCCTGCCTTGGCCTCTCAAAGTGCTGGGATCACAGGCGTGAGCCACCACACCTGGCCTGATCTCTCTTTTCTCTAACCCTAGTAGGCCCAGCTCTTTGTTGCACGATCTGGCACTTCCAGCACGTGGTCTTGCTTCCTGCCCCCATTCATGCCCTTGGAGATGAACTTGTGGGGGTTCAGCAAGGCCTATAGGATGGAGGCCCCCTCCCCCAGGGGGCTTTATGCCTGATTCTTCCAGGTGCCTGGGGGTACTTCCACTGGGGACCACCTGAACCCAGCTTTATGCCCTGAAGTTCCTGGCCTACCCAGCTGTCTGTGGCTCCAGGGAGGTCCGCCTCTTGTTGGGCAACCCCAAGGAGGGTGGACATCAGGAGTGGCTTCCACATCCCTGCATTTTACCTGCCTCTGGGGAAGAGGCCAGATCTGGCCCAACTTCGTCTTCTCCAGGAGTAGATGCCGCCCCAGAAAGCAGCCTCTCTGAGCCAGAGGAGGCCATGGAGAGGCTTGGGAGTCCCGTCCCCTCTCTGGTGCCGTTTCCTCATGGGCGGAGCAGGGGTGGCAACCCTCATGCAGCGGGGGGCAACTGGGAGGGCAGAAGAGAGCAACACTTGGCACCCAGTGGGCAGAGGTGCTCCCAGGGGTAGCCTGAGCCCCCTCAGCCCACGTGTGTGCCGTGTGACCAGGGGCTGCCTCTTTCTGACTTCAGCTTTCCCACGCCTAAGGGAGGAGAGTCCTGCCCGGCTCCAGCGCCTCGGGATCTATGAAACTAGAAGCACCTGGCCCTGGGCCGCAGTGCTGGGCACCCCAGGGGCTTTGCAGCCTCGGCACACATTCAGAGTCCTGGCTCCCACGTTGCCACCTCCAAGCCTGAGGCTCCCAAGATGGCCTCCAAACCTCACGCCTCCCAGTGCTGTCCTACCCTGGCCCCCAAGCCAGCTACAGCCAGGCCTCTGAGCTCTCTCGTTCCCAGAGCACTTAAGACTGTTGGGCACCTGCTCAGGGCTGGGTGGGGACAGTGACTTCTTTGGCCACAGAGACAGGCAGCCCACAAGAACAGGCGGGCCTGACCACACAGAGAAGGGAAGAGGGCATGGAGCTCCATCCCATGGTGCTCAGCAGCAGTGGCAGGCTGGTGCCACCTGGGCAGGGGCCTGGGGTGCTGTGCATGGCAGTCAGAGCACTTCTCCCTGTGGCGCTGAGATTGGGGGACCTTGCTTTGCCTCCCAAATTCCCATGGCTCAAAGCTGGCTCAGTGGGACCCTGGGCCTTGAAACTGCTTATGGCTGTCGGCAGTTCTCTCCCAGAATCCCCTGGGCTGGGGCTTGGTGCTTCCTCCTCTCCCTGGTGCTGGGCTTAGCTGCCCAGCCTCATGCTGGCCACGGGGACCTGGCTCTGCACACAAAGAGCTCGCGATGCAGGAGGGAGGCAGATGGTGTAATACTAGGCTTGGGGCTTCGGGCACACAGGGCCACTGATAGGGCATCCAGATAGGGGAGGGTCCTCACTGCTCCAGAGGGAAGAATGAAAAGGATCAGAAGGAGGGGCTCATGCTGGGTATTGAAGGATGAATAGGAGTTTGCCAGGCATTTCAGGCAAATAGAACAGCCTGTGAAAAGATACAGATGTGTGACAGTTAGGGAGTTCCAGAAACTTCAGTGGTCCCACGTGCCTCCCTGAGGGGCTTAGCCCTGAGCTGCCAATTTCTCTCCAGATCTGTCCTTGGACATTTTGCATTTGGACCTGTCACCATAACTGGACGGGAACTGCCGGGTAGTCCTCTCTCCCCAAGCAGCCAGGAAGCCATAGTGCAGGGTTCCCTCCTCCACCGCCCCTCCTTTCCCTGCACTCGGAATCCTGCCTTGCCATCAGTAGGGCCCTGTGTGTGCCTCCCCCACCCGCCCACCTGTTTACAGGGTCACCGTGGGCAAGTCCCAGAACCTCTCTGGCAAGTTTCCCCTTCTAGAGCCTGAGGACATTCATTGATGCAATTTCCAGGGACCTTCTAGACAGCTGGTGGCCCCATGTACAGAGAGCCCCAGCGAGGCCAGAGGAGGGGCCGGAGGGAGGCAGTGTGGGGAGGGAGCCCAGTGCAGAAAAGAGCACGGCTGGGGGTTGGAGGGCCCTGGGCACGTCCCTCGGGCCTCAGAGCAGCAGTTTCCTCAACTGGACAGTGGGGACCACGGCCACCCTGGGGCTGCAAGCATCAGCTCTACTGGAAAAAGTCACGGCCACACTGGGCACACGGGACAGAGCAGTCGGCACACACGGCCCACGAGGCAACTCCAGATGAAGCCGTTTTTCTCCCATGATGGCTTCACATCTGGTATTTCGGATTTCACAGGTGAGGACAGAGGTGAGCACTCAGCCCGGGAAGGGGAGTGGAGGGGAGTCCGCGCTTCTTTTTCATTCCTGCTCCACATTTTCCAAATTTAGCTTTCTTATTTTAAAACTGCAAATGGTGAACTCCCTGACACCTTGCTGAGGATCAAAGTCAGTCTTTAAGAACGCTCTTTGGAAGAAAGCATTTGGAAAAAACAGATAAAAGCTTGGAGTACACCTGCCGTTCTTCCAGTAACATGACCTGCACAAGGAGGGGCTCACAGCCAGCTGGCACCCACAGGGGCCTGAAATGAGAACTCACATCCACAGAGGCAGCGCTAAGAAACAGCCACAGTGGGTTTCCTGGGGAGCCCTGCATGTCCCCCTGCCCCAGAAGGGTCAGAGCTCTGAGTCGGTCCAAGGCCACCACATGGAAAAGAAACAGACTTCAGGGGCAGAGATTTGGATGTTGTTTGTCCCAAGTGAAGTTGACAGGGTAACAATCTCCAAAGTCCTTTCCCCTGCATCATCTCTCCTGCTCGTCCCCACAGAGCCACTTTACAGATGAGAAAACTGAGGCTCAAAGAAGCAAAGCCCCTGCAAAGGCCCCATGTAAGCAGGAGATGGCCCTGGGACCTCAGAGGGGCTCCTGGCTCCAAATCCCGTGGGGTGGCCGCGCAGTCCACGTGGTCATCCAATAGCCACACCTGGCACTCACGCCGAGTCAGTGGAGCCCGTAACTGACGCTCCCGTTAAATTAGTGGCAACACTAACAAATCATAGTAGGGAAAGCACTCCGCAAACAATGCGATGAATTCTATCAGGAAGGTGGAGCCCCCGGCTTCGTGCCGGGCCGGGGAGCAGAGCACCTGCACTCCAGCATCTGGGCGGGCAGCGAGGTATGCCCCGGGGAGGCCGGCCTTCCCTCCTGGCCTCGTGTGCAGCTTGATCCGTACGTCACTCATTCGCTCGACATGGGCTGAGGGCCTGCTCGGGCCTGGACCTGGGAGACTCACCCTCACGAAAATGCTTGCAGGGGGCCCTGGGTTCTTTGGGGCCCATATCACTCTCCCTCCGGCTCTTCCAGGGGAGCTACAGATCAGCTCCACCCACACCTGGCCAAGGTGCCTTGGTCTGGAGCAGGCATGTGACAGAAGCCAGAGTTCTTCCCGGAGACTTGTCAACTGGAAATGAACGGAGGAGGCCCCAGCAGGTGGCTTCGGCCATGAGAGTAAACCTGGCCCAGGCCAAGGCCTGGAGAGCAGCAGGGACAGCAGCGGCAGGAAAGGGCCCCCACCCAGGGTCTGGGAATGCAGCACCCCCGCCCTCTGGCCTGAACCGGCTCAGCTCCTGCAGCTCATGGCCAGACCGACACGAGCCTACACTCCCCGCTGCGTTTCTGAGCACCCACCACGCACAGTTCCCGCAGGAGCCACCCAGGCCCGGTCTCATTCATCCGCACAAGATCGGGGGAGGGATTTTACAGAAGGAGAAACCGAGGCACTGGGCAGCTAAGCAGCTTGCCTGAAGTCACACAGTCATGAAAGACAGGCAGGGTCTGAGTCCACGTCTGGCGGATCCTAAAGCCCGTGTCCTGTGGGCGGGCCACGCTTGCAGTTATTCGTGGAACAGCTGCCGTGTGCCGGGGGCCAGGGACCCAGCAGGGAGCAGGACCTCAACCTGTGGCGTTTACATGGCACCGCAGATGTGGGCAGGGAGCGGTGTCGGGTGGGCCAAGTGCTCTGTGGGGAGGAGACCGAAGGCAAGGGGAGCCGCCTCCTACGCCCCGCACGGGGAGGGAGGCCGGGGGCAGGCTGGGGGGCGCCCTGAGGCACCGTGCACTGGGGGCACAGGGGGCAGCCGTCAGGGGCTGATCTGGGTGGGCCTCACAGGTCCCAGGCGCTCCCTCTCATGGGAGGAGGAGAAAGGGCAAAGGCCAGAGGCCACGAGAGCTGTGAGGGAGGCCTGCCCATCTCCCACGCCAGGCTCTGAACGGCGCAGGCTCGGCCTCGGCGCCCCTGGCCGCCGTGCTCAGGCCAGTGGCAGCCCACACCTCATGGGGTCTCCATTTTTGCCAGGGACCAGGCTCACTGGGCATGGGGTGCAAGTATTTTCACCAAATCAGCCATTTTTGAGACTAAAATTAAAAAGATGTAGAAGGTGCTCCTGCCAGGCCCAGCCCAGCGGCCTGCGCCCGACGTGGGCCTGGGCAGCTCACTCGGCCCGCCCTGAGGGGCGCCGTGTAGAGACACTGGGGCCACGCACTCACCCCCAGACCAGGTTCGCACACTGTGGGTGCTGCATCCACGTGGCACCACTGTGTGTCAGCCCCTGTACTGACTGTGGGTAGGAGGATTTGGCCTAGAGAAGTCCTACCTCCGGGCCTTTGCACTGCTCTTCCCTCTGCCTGGAACCTGTGGACCCTGAAGAGATCCCAAGGACGCCTCGGACACACTGAAATAAATGTCCTTACGCACCAGCCTGGGCCAGCTCCAGTCCCCCCCCGGGACTGGTGCACCTACTGTGCCCAACACCATACAGACCTGACCTTCCCTGGCCGCACAGCAAGCCCTTGGCCGGCTCTTCCAACCACCTGCTGGACAGATGAGGACCTGGGCCTAGGAGGGGACAGGCACCTCGCACACCGTCTCCGCCTCAGTGACAGTGGAGCTGGAACTGGGAGAGGCAAAGCTGGGGGCGCCCTCCTCCTGTGACCCCTCTGCCTGGTCCTGGGGCCCCTCCTCACATCCTCTGCATTGCCCCACGGACACCTGCCAGGGATGCCCTCCTCACCAAGTGAGGTCTGTCTCCTCCAGGAAGCCTTCCAAAGTACCTGTGGCCACCACCCTCACCTGTCAGCAGATCCTTGGGCTCTTGGAGCGGCCCCTCGGTGACTATCGGCCTCCTCCAGCCCCAGGGGCTCCTGCTCCTCCAGCAGCCACACCGCCTGGGCAGAAAGCACACTGGGCTGGAGCCAGCCCAGAGGGCCCCAGGGCTCAGGCAGACCAGGGACCCAGATGTCCACATTTGTGGGGAGGGGGACAGGGGCTGGGGCCCAGTGAGGCTGGCGGGGCCCACTGCGCTCCAGCAGAGTCCCTAAGGGCAGACCTAAGACCCAGAACCCTCCTGCCCGCGGGAGTCCCCTGTTGGGACCAGCAGAGCAGGGCTGTCCCTCTCAAGCTCCCACCATTCTCTTTGTCTCCAGAGCCCCAGCGGGCCTGGGAGTGGGAAGGCGAGAGGAAGCTGCCGAAATACTCAGGAAATCGCAAAACACGTTTATTGGGCAACACCGGCCACCTGCCAGGGGCTTTCACTGCCGCAGTCCTCACAACCCTGTAACAAACAGATTCTTGTCCTCATTTTACAGAGGAGGAAACTGAGGCTCAGAGGACAGTGGAGACAGCCTCTGCCCAGGTCTGACCCAAAGCCACAAGTAGTGCTCACTCGCGCCCTCCCGCAGGGAAGCAGGGGCCCAGGCCCGCGTCCGGAAGGCTCGGCGACGGCGAAGCTCAGGAGCGATGAGAGCTCAGTGCCAGATCTTCACCTCCCCTCCCCAGGAGCTGGTGGCGAGGACGGAGGGCAGCACGGGGTGGAAGGTGGCGCCGATGCAGGCCTCCGCGTGCCCCTGCAGCGTGCACGCCCGGCTGGCCGTGCGGAAGGTGTATATCAGGACCCGGCCGTCGGCGCTGCCCGTCACCAGCAGCTCTCCGCCCGGGGAGCACTCGCAGCCCACCGAGTAGCCTTCCACCTGCAGAGGGCAAGACGGGGGTGAGTGGCCACACCTGTGCCTCAAGGCCAGGTGTCAGACAGGGGCTGTTGTGCCCACTCCACAGAGGAGCAGGCCGAGGCCCCAGGCTGGCAAGGAGCAGACCAGGGATTCGCACCCAGTGTCTCTGAGGCTGTAGGGCCCTGGCAGGGGTCCTGCCTCAAGAGGCCAGTTCAGGGGAATCCTGCTGAAAGGGCTCCAGCCCCACCGACAGCCACCGAGCCCCCGGCCCCTTCGCCCCAGCAAGGTAGGCCTCGGGGAGGAGGAGGATGTAGCAACGGCCCCATGCCTGTCCAGTCCTGCTCCCGTACGTCCACCCCGCCCTGACCTGCCTGTATGAGCCAGCCAATGCTTTCCTGCCTGGTAGCTGGGGCCTGGGGCCAGGACCAGATGTGGCCCAGGGTCTTGAGGAGACACCAGGCCACATGGCCTGCAGTCACCCAGGAAACCGAAAGCAGAATCTACCCAGGCAGAGGCTCCACGCACCCTGGGGTCCCACGGCCATCACTGGCGCTGTCTGGTGGGAGACTCTGGGGCCAGTGCTCAGCATCTGACCTGGGGGACAAGGACGGGGGTACCTTGTGCCCTGCGTAGCGCCGCCTTCTGCTCATCCGGTAGGGCCACACGGCGGAGAAGAGGGCCACGTAGTTGCCGTTGGACTGCGCCAGGAACACGGGCTCCTGCGGGTGCGCGGCGAGGCTGGGGCAGGTGTACCTCTCCTGAGGAACGGCAGGGCCGCAGGAGGGTCGGAGGAGGCTCACACTCAGTCTCCGCCTCCAGCAAACCCCCCCCCCCCGCCCCTGGCACTCTGCCCGAGGGGCCACGTGCCCTCCCAAGCTTTGGTTTAGGGGCTCTGCATGAATCTCCTGGTGCTGCTATAACAAATTCCCACAAACTTAGTGGCTTAAAATAACATATATTTATTACGTGACACTGTTGGAGGTCAGAAGTCTGAAATGGGCTTGCCTGGGCTCAAACCAAGGTGTGGGCAGCCTGCGTTCCTTTCCGGAGGCCGCAGGGAGGCCCTGTTTCCTCCCTTCTTCCAGCTGCCAGAGGCTACCTGCAGCCCTTGTGCGGGGCGGGGAAAGGGCCCCCAAAACCCACATCCTAATTCTCGAGCCTCTGAGTGTCATCTTATGTGGTCAAAAAAAGGGTCTTTGTAGACATAATGAAGGATCTTGAGATGAGGAGATCATCCTGCATCATTACCCAAATGCAACTGCATTCATCCTTGGATGGAAGCAGAGGCGGATCTGACACACACAGTGGAGGCGACTGAAGATGCTGGCCTCGAAAACTGGAGGGATGCAGCCACAAGCCAGGGAGTGCCCGCAGTCGGGCGGGAAGGAGGAGTACTCCCTGCTGGCACCTTCATTTCGACCCAGCGACACTTACCATTTACTAAGGACTCTGGCCTCCAGAGCTGTGAGAGGATAAATGGCGTGGTTTTAAGCCACCACATTTGTGAGAATTCGTTGCACAGGACAGAAAACAAATCCACGTGCTGTCTCCCCACCTGCACAGTGAGCCCCTCGGGACAGCCCCAGCCCAGCCCAGGGACCCGCGCAGCGAAATGCACCTCAGGTGAGGAACTGAACGGTCAGACAAGAATACACACGCGTGACCACACATCAGCACGCGGGGCGGGATCTCACTGCTTGACGGGCACAGCCACACAGGAAACACCCCGAAAACTCCCCTCTCAACCTCGCCGGACATTGCTCTAAGTATTTCCTTAGGCCACCCGCTCGAAATGAGCCCAAAATCAGAGGGCCAAGTGGGGAGCAGACAGAAGGGCAGCTGCAGGCCGACGTGCCCAGCAGAGGCCCAGGGGCCAAGGTGGCCAGAGGATGAGCTCCCCGCCACGACGCTCCTGGGCTGAGCGCCTGCCCACTCCACACAGCAAGTGTGCAGATGTCATCAGAGAGGCCACGGCTCAGGCACAAGGCACCTTCATCTGCCCCACTTCTCTTGGTCTCTGCTGGGGCTCTTGGAGGCAGGACACCCTCGGCAGCCAGAAGGACCCTTCCAGCCCCTACCTGCAGCCCCCACCTAGGGGGTTCAGACAGCTGAACCCCCTCCCACGGGAAGGGGCCTGGGACCCCAGACAGACCAGAACCACACAGGCATGTCCTGTGGCCGAAACTGAGAGTAATGCCAAATAGGGCTTCTCACATGATAAATCTGATTAGAGATTCTGGCAGAGGTCCGGAAATCCCAGGCAATGATGGTGCGGTCAGCAGAGTCCCGGGTGGAAGCGTCTGTGCTGCTCAGGAACTCACAGCCTTCCCCGAGGAACAGGATGTCCAAGGTCTGCTGGATGGTTGCCTTGTAGCGTCTCACCACCTGCAAGAGCAGGCACCGGTCATGCTGGCAGGCCTGGGAACACAGGACAGGTGCCTGCCCAGGGAGGGCCGCCGCGCGCCCAGGCGGTGGGCGGGTCTGGTGAAGGCCACGCTGGGCCACACACACCAGGCTGGGCAGCTGCAAGTGCCACGTAGAGTCATGGTGCCCTCCCGCCCAGCCCCTGCTTTCCCACCAGGCCAATGTCTGTCACCCCCTGGAGCTACTCTGCAAAACCACCCAGACTCAAGCCTTGCCTGGTGGCCTCCTGCCATCCTCTTCTCCCCAGTCAGAAGGACCCCTCGGGAGCACGTGGTATCCAGCGAAAGAGCCACGGGAAGAGCCTACGCCTTGCCCAAGGGCACCTAAACAGCATGATGACACCCATCAACACCAGGGTCATACTTTGTGAGCGGGTCTTGCTTTTGAAGATGTCACATAATTCACAACTCACAAAGTTCCAGACTACTGTCCCTGCAAGAGTCATGGTAATGCACGGAGCACGTGTTTTTGGAGACAGACCATAAAGCCAGAATCACAGAACATATTTTAGCTTTAAAGACACTTTGTATTTTCTTAGCATCATCACCAGTATTTCATAGCCTCCTGTCTCGTAAACTGATGTTATTAAGTATCAAGCAGTTGTTTTGCTTTCTTTAGAGCATTTTTATTACATTCATCTTCTGCTCTGAAATTTTTGGCAGGGAGGTTGGGAGGGGTCCCACTACCAGGACTAACAAGCGGCTCCACTTAACACACTCATGGAAGGCGCAACCGTAACTTGCAGCATTGAAGTACCTGGCCAGCCGCCCACCAGCCGTGGCAGAAGCGCAGCAAGGTCTCAGGCCTGCCTGCTGGGCCTGGCCAGCCCGTTACCAGTTCCCAGGGCGCCACCATGTGGCTACAGCATAAACACTGTTCCCCAGTCTCTTGGCCCCACCAGTTACAAAATGAGCCATCTTGACAAATTAAAAAAAAAATGAACTTCACAACTTTCCAATTTTGCTGACATGTTTCCCATCATCCTCTTTCAAATGTATATGTCAAGTTCACATTAAATGCAACACTCTATAAATTTAGTTTAGACCAGGGGAAGAGAGGCTATAGACCCATTCTCCAGATGGGGTATACTGAGGCTCAGGAGATTTGCTCAAAGTCACAAAGCCAGGGCATGGCTGATCCTCTCCCCACTGCAGGGGCTTCCCTAGGCCCCACAACTCAGTCTTCCGCTGGCCAATTCCTGCCTCCATAAATTCCTGGGGCGGGTGGGCAACAAATGACTTCCCTTCTCTGAGCCACTTCAGAAGCAGCCCTCAGCTAAGGGGATTTCAGGGTGGATCCCCTGAAGCCTAAAGAACAGTCCAGGGACAGAAAAAAGAGGCCAGTCCTAGAGGCCTCTGAATGCAGGGCAGGGAGCCAGACTGCCCCTCCCTGGCCAGCTGCCGGCTGCCTTCCTGCAGGCACCAGGATTTCCTCTGCCTGCTTTGCCCTCCCAGGGTGGCCCTAACCAGGCACAGCCCCAAGTCTCACAGTGTGGGCTGGGGGAAGCTCTATTCCCAGCCAGGAGTGTAGGACTCATGCTCCTGCTGGCTCTAGAGCTGGGGCTGCAGGCTAGTAGGATCTGGAGATGAGATAAATCATGGCTGTCCCCAACATCTGCTCTGATGAGTTTGCACAACATTCCAACTTGGGCCTGGCCAGGCCCGGCAGGCAGGTCTGAGACCTTGCTGCGCTTCCACCATGGCTGCTGGGCCCCCGCCTGTTATTTCAATGTTGCAATTTAAAGTACTGTCCTCCATGAGTTTGTTAAGTGGAGCTACTTGTCAGTCCTGGTACTAGGACCCCTCCCGATACGCCCACCAAGAACAGCGCCATCCCAAGGTGCAATTTGGAATCTATGTTGGTGGGGAGCGGAGGGGAGGCACCAATGCCCCAACATCATGGCTCTGGAACAATCTCTGTACGGGCTCCAGATCCACCTGCTCCTCCCATCCCTAGAGCCATTCCAGCCTCACCTCACTTAAATCACCCTCCCAAGAGCCACCCCAGGGCCTCCATGTACCTAGGCCACATCAGGCTTGGATGTCTCCCTTATCCCTCTCCATCACCACAGTTCAGATGAGGAGCAGGGAGTCCAGAGATGGCCGGCGTACCAACTGCCAAGAGACGAGTGGTGTGGCCCAACACACGTCCCTGCATGTGGCCCATGCCCTGAGGCACTTCTCTTCCCTGGTTGGGGGATGAGGGGCACAGAGCAGCCTCGGGAGCCCCGCCGCCCACACCGAATGGCTCTTGGCAGACAGTTCCCAGCTCCCCTGCAGCTCTAACACCACAGCCCACCACCAGCCCCGGCGCCTCCATCCCAGCAGGCACTGCCCCAGGGAAAGGATGGAGGAAGATGAGGGCCCACCTTCCACATGCTGAGTGCCCATTAAGTACCAGTCCCTGACTGGGGGCTCACAAAAATCATCTCGGGACAACAGCCCCAGAGGTAGCTTCTCCAGAGAGGAGCAACGTGCCCAGGAGCCGGCAGCCTGTCCACAGAGAACTCCCTGCGTACCCCTGTCAACACACCGCCTGCCTCCGAAGACAAACTTTTCGAGAACGAAAACCGCTGTTCTGTACATTTTCTGAGAATGGTTGGAAATGGCCCAATTCATTAGGGTGTCATAAAAGTGAATGGCCGGGAAACAAGCCGTGTTATGGGCGATCCCTGCCAATAGCGCGGCTGTAAGTGGAAGGCTGGCCTTTGAAGGGAGCACCTCCGAACATGATTTACTCGCCTGCACAACTGCTCATGCCCCAGGAAAGAGCAGAGGAGCCATTTGTGCGTCTAGCTGGTGGGTTTTATGGCAACCTTAATTACACCAACAGCTGGCACATCCCATCTCAGGGCGTAAGACGGTGCCGCTCGGGCCTAACTAGCTGGACCCAAAAGGGAGCCTTGCTCAGACTCTTTCGGCAGTGGTGGGCCCTGTTGGATAAGCAGGACTTGGTCTTGGGGAAAGCAGAAGGTCGATCATGACACATTCAGGTGATGAGAACCACCAATGTCCCTAAGATCTGCCCACTGCTTGGCCTGCCAGCAAACCTCAGTCACTGTGGGCTGCTGCTGACTTGTTCAAAAGCATAGTTTTCCCTTCCCTGGGTTCCTGCTACCTCCAGGATGCAGGCTAGGCTCCACGGGGTGCAGGGTTGGGGGTGCAGGGTAGGCTCCAAGCCTGGCCCAGCTGCCAACAGGGGAGGGTCCCTTCCCACTCTGGGCCTAGTTTTTGAGTCATCACCATGAAAGGCCTAAACTGGACAACACCTGAGCCTCGTAGCCTCTAAGTACTGCTGGTCCTCAGAAAGAGGAAGACCTGGGGGGTGGTGCCAGATCTCCCTACCCAACCCTGCCAGTCCTCTGCACCCAGACCTGATGGAAAGGAGGAGGGCGACGCTGCTCTGGCTCCCATGGGACCCTGTGCTCCTGTGCTCTCTCAGCAGCACACCTTGGCCACCTGCCCGGACCATAGGACTGTGAGGTCCCAGGACAGACGCTCTGCCACTCACATTTCTAGGTCACCCTTGGCCAGCACTGGGTCTGCCCACTGCAGGCATCGGCAAGGTGTGTGGAATTAACAGCTAGGAAAGTGAGTGAATGGATAAACAAATGGATAAATGAGCAAAAGGTCGACAGCTTTAAAAATGCCACAACCCAGGGGCTTCTGGCTCCCAGCAATATCCTGGCACTTGGGGCTGAGGCAACACACTGGGCCTCTGCCACTGGCTCCACCAGAGCCCCCTGGGGAGATGACAGTCATTCATAGATTCACAGGTCCCTCCTGTGGCCCCAGTGTGCCAGCCCCTGCTCTGGCCTGGGGACGTGGGGACAAAGGAAAGCTGCTCCAAGACCACGGTGGGGGAGGGAAGCAGAGCAGAGGGACTGTGCTCAACGTCTGGTTGTCAGGAGAGCCCAGAGGCTGCCAGGGGGCTTCTCTGGCCCCTGGATGAACAGAGGTGAGATGCCAAGTGGGAGGGCCCAAGCTCTTGGGCACACACCCTGCGCACCCAAGCCTAATGGCCTATTACTGGCCATGTGACTTCGGGCAAGTAACTTACCCCTCTGCTCTTCAGTCTCCACACCTATAAAGTGGGGATAACAGCAGGACCTCCAGCTAAGGGAGTAAACAAAGGTGACAGGTCCAGCTGAGAGCCCGACACATAGCAGATGCTCATAAACCTTCTCTTCCCAGGCCAGGCAGAGCTAAAGTACCCAGGATGGAACTGTGAGTTCTTGGAAAAGTTTCTTCTCCCCAGATTTCAACTCCTACATGAAATAAATGCACTAATCTCTTTAAATGCTAAGATTCAAGGCAAACTGGAGGGGCAGGCACAAGGCTCTTTACTGTGTCTTAAATTCACACAAGTAAAAGTAGCCAATCACATAGGACAGTGGCTATCAAAAGTGCCCCATTGATACATGTGAAAAGGAACTGAAGTTTACATTAAAAAAAAGAAACCATATAAATATGAGAAGAAAACATGATTGAATTTCTCTGCAACCTGGGACTTGGGGAAACTTTCCCAGTATGACTCCAAAGCCAGAGCACTAAGAGAAAAGATGAATAAATTTGACTACATGAAAATAATAATAATTTTAAAAATATACTTTTGTATGGCAGAAAGCAAGTAAATACATGAATAATAAATAAGCAAAGTAAAAATGACAAATGGGAGAAATATTTGCAGCTTATATTACACTCAAAGGTTACTATCCGTAATATAAAGACAGTGTCTAAAAATAGATGAAAAAGACCAACAGCTCTACAGAAAAATGGGCAAGAGATGTGACCAGAGCTCATAAAAAAAGACATGGTCCTTCTACCATAAAAAGAGCAAGACAAATTTAAACTACACAGAGACACCATTTCTTACCTATCAAATTAGCAAACTCCAACAGTTTGGCAACAGCCTCCATTAGGTGGCTCGGGGTATCAGGTATCTATGCACTGCTGCCAGAA